CAATATAAATTTGTTTAGAGTAATATTAAATACAATATTTACTCATTACATGTTGTTACAGAAGTATCCAACTGTGTTTAATTATGTAATAACGAACTTACCCCTATGAGGCCCTCACCCCACCCAACCCTATTTTTACAATTTGTTCACAACATTATAACGTGCTATATATTGTAAAGTTGAAAAAATACCAATTTTTAAGATTCAATTCTCGATTTTCCAAGAAAAAGTGTACATTTTTAAACAGTTTATTTTTAATGTAATACAATTTTGTAATTTCGTAGTAGGAAAATATATTTTATTGTTTTCAACAAAACATTTTTATAAAAAAAAAGTGTGATTTGCATTTTACTTGTAACACAATTGTACCTAGTTTGTAATTTGGAAATTCATCACTTCCATTTTTTGCAATTTGTAATTAAATGCAGTTTTTATTTTTGGCAATTCTTATAAGAAAAGAAAAATGATCTTGACCAATAAATAAAGTTGTGAATATGGTGTTCATAAATAAGAGTTGAGGCTTTATTTTTAACTGCATTCGACGAGACCGAGATAACCGAAAATAAACATTAACTTTGACTTGTTACTTGTATTACTATTATTTAATTTAATTCAAACAATAAAGTTAACATTAACGAATAATTTACATTTCATTACCTTTTATTGTCTTTTATTATAGTTTTATAATATTGTAAAAAAAGTTATTAGCTCCTACTCCGTTATAATATGTTTTACAGCTAAGATAAAATTGTCTTAAAGGTGGGCGGTGGCCAAGAATGTTTAAATTCGTACCTCAAAAATGTTCTCACAAACAAAACAAAGTCAGTAAGTAAATTGACCTTTACATTTTTCGGGAAACATAATATTCAACGATATATTATATTTTCTAAAACATATTATTTTTCTTGTGTGGGATTTAGTTTTTAGAAAATATGTTGTTAACAAAAATATATTATTATGTAGTAATATTTCAAACTTCATACCATTATAATATTTAAATATATTTATGTATTAGTTTATAATATATAATGTTGTTGTTAAAATTTAGTTTTCCCTTAATCTTTTGTAGACATCTCGAACATAGAAAAGGGAAATTTATCGACAAGAGTCGTTCAACTGATATATTATTATAAGCGGATTTACTTGATAAAAGTGATATCTATCGGCTTATAGAGGAGAAAAGCTATTACGTGTGTGCTTGCAGTAGGAGAGAGGGGGGGCAAGGGTCTACTATATATTGTATTAGAAAAAAAAAAATGTTCAATTTAGATGAGATGGCAGTGCGACGGTTACTCGTACGGTTTGTAAGTCCGAAAACACCTTGCGTAAAAATAAATGTATAATAAAGAAAAACTGTGATGACTTTTCTGCAGAGATAGAGAGAGAGAGAAGATTGTTTGTTTATCGTCGCGAGATACAAAGTAGGTATTATGCTCTATACTTTATTATATAATATTGTCTTAAGGTCGGCCCCTCCGCGGCGGGGTTCGACGTAATTACATTTAAGTTTATACCATGTCTTAGTGCGCTACTATACACCCGGGCCAGCTGCTTATTTTCCTTGCACAATTTTCCCGTACCTTTTGACCGTTGGATTAAGTCTGGCCGGCAAATAAATAACCTCAGAGACGGTGCGTTTATGTGTTTTACACCGGTGCCTAAGTACGCTGTAAGATTGGATATTACGGTGGCAATTTTCAAAAACAAACCAAAAAACCCCGCGAGAATACCTCGCCCTACCGTTGTTACTTTACGTGTAATAATACAATAAAAGTATACTACTGGCACTAATAATAATAATACCACCAACGATCCCGGTGGATCAAAAGCAATAAAAACCCGAGCGAAAAATCAAATACCGAAACGAGAAACCGATAATTTAAGAGCCAACCCCTTCCTCCTCGTGGTAGTCTAGATTACAAAAATGTAATATTATTATTTCACAGTGTGTGTGTATGTGCACAGAGAATGGCAGACCGGTATAATGAAAACAATAAAAATCTCATTACAAGCGCCCTCGATCCGAACCCACCTATCACACAGGGTGTACGACCGCGGAAATTCATCCAATTTAATAATAATATTATCACCCATTGGGAAGCTAGGATTTTTGTAATTCGGTTTTTTTTCATTAGATTATATGTACACTGCTTCGTCATAAGTCAATTAGACATTTCCAATATTCTTTGGGCTATCGAAAACACCCTACGCGAAATCTGAAATACGTTTTATAGCCCCAATAGCGAGAAGATGTCATACTTGATAACAAGAAAAAAACATTTTGAAATCGGTCCGGTAGACGCTTGAAAAAGTGACTTCTTGTTTTAGTTCCTTGTAAAGAAAAAACAGAATTTAAACCACTCAATATGATAGCCAAGGAGATACAACGGATCTGTCTACCTAGGACACCCTGTACACACCACACAGTGTACCAATAACCGATTTTATGGTGAAAAAAGTTTTTTTAAAAAAACCATCTAATTTATCCAAAGATAAAAAATATGTATATATATCCTACACCTATTTGCATGTCATTAAACACGTTTTATGTATATTATTATTATTAAAAAAGTTCAACGTACCTGGTTATTATTTTTTTTTTTCCAACCAAATTAATTACCCGATAATGAAAGGGTTGTTTTTTCCACCTTCTCTTTGGAAAACTACTCGGTGTAATTCTCTCACTCTTTCTCTCTCTATCTTTTTTTTTACCATTAGCTATTTACATTTTTTAAGGCTTGTAATATACATTAATTTTTTTTTTTTTTAACATTACTTTACTTGTGACCGAGCCCCGTCGGTGGCGGTCGGCATAATCCGCTTATTAACGGGTAAAAAATCTATTTTTATAATATTATTGTACACAACTCGGCTCGGCCCGCATAAAAAACTTAACGACACGGTTATTATGTAAGTATACTCTGCCGCCGCCTCATTCAATAAACGTAGGGTCACCGTTAATTAGGTGTTTCCAACGAAAAGTCTTCTCTCCGGGTCGGATACATTGTTATCCTGCCATGGCAATTCATTGTGGTGGTGGTGGTGGGTAGGTTTAAGATTATTTTTGATGAGTTAAGCCGACCTCGGTCGAACAGACCAGAGAGATTTTGCCAAAGCCGAGTTACCAAGTACACCAGAACAATAGCCGCAGCTAGTTACACTACTAAGTACTTACCAGTATACGGTTGGGTTAGGCGGGACAGTTTTCTTACGGTTTTTAATGGCATCTTGTGTATGTTAGTTTACGAATCAACTCTTTTAATTTTTTTTTCTTTGTAAAAATACAAGTAGAAATAACGTTTTTTCAACGGATTCAAAGAGGAATTTTATAATTCGAATCAGTTTAGAGACAGCATAGAAAGATTTAAAACAAAAACTGTTTGATAAAAAGAGAAAACACAAATTTAAAAGCTAAATCTCGTTGCCAATTTTCGGCTGATAATGTATTGCTTTTGTTGTAGTTGATTTAAAATGAATCAATATATCTTTAGTGCATTTTTGAACAATTAAAAAATAGAATAAATGCATAATTTTTTATTAAACTCTTACTTCTGAGAACTTTTTACTTACTATTAACTTATTATAACTGTATTTTTATACTCGATAATTTTTTTTTTAATTCCTGCTCTAATGGAACTCATTTTGAAAAAATGTAATTACTCTTCTAAAGGATCTTTTTTACTTGAGGAAACAATTTATTAGCATTACGATTAATAATACATCATATTACTCTTATTTTTTTAATAAAAATGTTAATACAATTTTTTGGTATGAACTATATTTTGAAGTGAATGTGAAGGCGAATGCATTCAATACTTCATTCGAGGAATATTAATGGGAATGCGATTACTTAAAGGAATATTACAAATACTGATCCTCTACCCATTTTCTCTACTATTAGCGCAAATCTCAAACTATCCGTATTATATTTTACTCATCCCTATAATTTCTTCCAACTGTTTGACATTAATCGGCCAGCGATTTTCATTCGGTTATATTGATTTTCACTCAATGCCAGGAGTGAAATTAAAGAAGTATGCACCCGTTTTGACTATCTGGACTTAAGCAACGCGACTGTCCAAGGATTGCTCCCTCTTACGATTTTTTTGGTTATTTTTCTTTCACCGAAATTGTAATTTTTGGGGTTGTGTTTTTTCAATTGCGGTTGAAGGTTTATGTCCGTGCATTACGGTTAGGGTCGTAAAAATCTATGACAAAACATGACGGCCACTTCCTCGGCGACAAGTCCACAACCTTATTTATGTTATTTACTATACTTTGTGTACCGTACAACGAAAAGCGGCAGTGGGCATTTTATTATTATTATCATCGCTGTTATCGACTGACCCTTAAATAAAAAAACAAGGAATCCAAATTACATGCCAAAGAGCTTTTACAGGTCCAGAAAGACGGAAGAGCAAATGTTTAAACTGTATATTGAGTTTTATGCAATTTTTGTAGGATATTCATAATACTATTCTCTCTGGTATATAATTATTTGTATTTTACAAGTTTACTTAAATAATATCTACTATTTTTTTTTTCAACTCTGAGCAATTACTTAATGGAAAATTTTGTTAGAACGTACTTAATTTCGTTATACAGTAATCCTTTTTGATTGTGCTAACAATATACCTACTAATGATAAAGAAAATATGCAAATTTAATGTAAATATATACCTTAAAAGTCGTTGATTTAAAAAAAAAATAATTATACAAAAAATGTAACTAAAAAATTGAATTCGTTTGTTAATATAACAAGTGTGCAGTTATTTTTATATTTTTTTTTTTACTATTTTAAAATTTGTTAATTTAAAACTATGTATGTTGAATTCTTTAAATGTTTAAAAAATAAAATCTAAAATTGTTTAAGCGCATTTAATTTAAAACTGTTTTTTTTTTTTAATTCCAATTATTTGACCGCTTTATATTATCCGCTACAAGTTGTATACAAGCCTATACTTGGAAAATATGTACATATTATTATACTTGGCTCTTACCTTAATGCTGTCGTAGCAGGCGGTCACCCGGCCGTTTTGGACTTCCACGTTGGGCGCCGGATGGGCGAATTTGCAGTCCGTGTCCGGTCTGGAGCACTTGTTCCGCTGGTATTCCCGGCACACTTCCAACTGCAGCCATCTGGAGTCTTTGCCGTTCAACAAATTGTTCATGTTTACCACGGCCATCTTAGACGTGTGCGATCAGTAGTTTGTAAAGGGGTTTTTTTTTTTATCGAGTCGAGCTTAGCTTAGCCGAACTGATGTGCGGAACACGGTTTGGTGGATTAATAAAGAGAACCGACGGTTTGTTACTGTTTCTTTTTTTGGTGAAGAAACAATTATTGTATTGTGTTATATTATAAGACCTAGCCGGAAGAAGCGTTCGACTAGTACAACGACGACAGACTACAGCTGATGCGGTGTTCGGTCGTGGCAGACGATATCATTTAACCTTTTTGGCTTTTCAGCGGTAGCGTGGGCGGCTGCTGTCGGCGATGCGGGTCTGCCGGGAGGCGATTCAAAGCTCTCTACACAAGCAAGCCGTTTGCCGGTATAAGTCTGCAAAAAACAGGAAAAAAAAATTGTAAAATAAAAAGTTATAAAGTGTAAAAAATAAACCACAACATCGCGCGCGGGCTTGGACCGAAAAACGGTTAAAACTTAATTTGGATTTTCTTATGGAAAACTTGCACGTGGACTCTAACGCTTAAGCTCTTTTGGATCATGCGTCAAAGTTAACAAATACATTGAACAAGTTATTTGGAGCAAGTTTCGCTAGCTTGTTGAAAAACGACATTTTTGAGGTAGCAAAAGGATTTTACCTATTATACATAAAATATAATAATCAGTAAAAAAAAAAAAATGACTCCTAATTTTCACTTTGTTGCGAAGATGGTATTTTAATTTTATTTTTTAATAAACCAATCCAGTGGAGTCTGGTCATAGTCTACAGGAATTAAAAAAAAACTAAATTAATACAAATAAACGCTTCGGTGCGAATCTGTAAATAGTAGAAATGTAAATATCGTTAAAAGCGTTGTAATGGCATTAATTTGCTAACGTTATATTTTCAGTATTAGGGTGGATACGATTAGGGTCGATCGTTTGTCTATAATAATTTGTTAAATATTTTTCAGGTACCTGTTGACTGTTGTTTCACTCGCACATAGAAATCTCACAGAAATTTACAAAAGTGCGATTTTCCAATTTTTTTGGGAGGTTTCATTTAAAATTAAAAAAAAATTTGACAACGGATTTTTTAGCAATAAGTACCTATAAGTTAGGTTAGGCCCACTCTAGATCTCTGTTTGGTCTAATTTTCAGACCTCAAGCAGTCAAACTTCAGTTAAAAAAGCAAAGAAAAAAAAGTTTCCATCCCTTTTAGGGCAAAGGGCTTATATTTTTGTTTTATCAACGCAGTACTATGTCTAAAGTACATCCTATAAACATTTGGAACCAATTAGACTGTTTTAAAAAAGTATTAGTGCACCATAACTCCAAGTTGAAAAACATATACAATTTTGGGTGTTTTTTACAATTTTTTTAAAGGGAAAGGATGAAATTTATTTTGTTTCGTCCCAATAAAGAACCTCTCAGAACATTTCTGTTGTCTGTTTGTTTGTAGATTTGCTACATGAAGTGATAAAAATCGTTTCAGCGGTTTAAAAGATATATTTAAGAGGTCCAGACAAAAATAAAAAATAAAAGTACATCACTGTAAAACAATACCTAATCAGTTTCGCGTCAAAGATAAAATATAAAATGTAATATCGAAAAAATTGGCAATTTTTATATCGAATTTATACAATACAAAACTAACAGCAGTGGGTGAACTTAACTTAATCGTTTTCATGTTAATATTTATGACTTAACCGTGTTACTATTTTCAAAATAATTATTTAAACTCAACACTTTATCCAGCTTTGCTTTTTTGCAACGATTTGGATCTAAGCCCACGCGATTAGTAACGCGTCCGATACAAAATCGCTCTCGTTAAACGGTTTGTGACCATATTGTTTTTTTTTTTTCATTATTATTGTTATTTAAAAAAAGGGCTGACCACAGGATAAAAAAAGTAAACCAGGGGCCAGGGAGTCCTATTAGCATAACGGTTATTAACAAGCGTCGGGCCAGTCGGATACGATATATCCGTGTGGTTCATATTATGTGTGTGAGTGTCTCTCCGAGTGTGAATATTTAATGACTTGGGGATGTGTCATCGCACGGAACGTGCTCGAGAATAATCATTACCGAAACGAACAGCCGTTTTGTACATTATTATATACATTACGGTGTCATAAGAGCCGACCAAAAGGATTGCGGTGTGCGACAAAAAGGGGACGTTGAACGGCATGGGGTGGTCGGCAAATAACTTAAATGTGTGACTCGTTTAAAACAATAATAATAACGTTTACCCGCTTGCCAACATCATATACATAAGTGACCGTTGTGTGTTAACGCGGTGTAAACGGTTATTATTGCCGTTGGAGTAGAGATGAACAATTATTATCATTGTCATCGCCCTCGTCTCGGCCCACAAATACTGTGCAAGCTGAGCTTCACAAGCTGTGTTATATAGACGCTAAGCTGCAAAGTCGGTGTACTCAAAAGCAGAAAATTTCAAAATTTTCATACCTAAACTAAGACTGTTGATATGCATTCATACTTTGCTGAGGTAAGTTAAGTGAAAATCCACATATGAACTCTGACAATTGTTTTATCAAACCTACATACACTGCGATTTGTTATTGATTGAATCCATAACTGATAAATATGAGTTTTTAATGAAATTTATAAATTGTGTAGTCGTAAAACAAACAGATATTTTGAATTTATAAAATTCATATATTGAGAAGTTATGTTGTTGATGCATCACTAGTTTGTCTTTGGAAGTTTAGGTGTAAAACTGGGTTTAAATATAAATATGTTTACCTAACCGTGTTATACAATGTTATCAACTTATGCAAACTGACCTGCAAAACAAATCATAAATTATATTAGGACTTAGGCTGTGAAAAATCTCAAGATTTGAGTAATGAAACTGTATCTTAATAGTTTGAAATTGATTATCCAATAAATCCAACAACGGTTCTAGGTTTTTTTTTTTATAATTTGTGTGATAAAATTAATAATTTTTAATTGGTACCCTTAAAAAAACGTTTTTGAGAAAGTCTTTTCTATTACTGGCACATTATCACAGAAAGAGACACTCGAGAGTAGTTCCACTTGGCCATAATTTTCTCCTAGCCGGCTCTTGACACAAGTACATAACCGTCGTGTCAAATTTGTCATTTTAATTTTGCTTACTCAGGTCCGTGTCAAAGTGGACAGATGTATGGGGTTGTGCTTGGTGACGTTATCACGAGGACATCAAAAGCGAATCCACGCAATACTGTATTTATCCAAAATAATATAATATTTTCGTCGTACCTAAGTAGTTGGTAAGACCGTGTGAAGTGTGAGTTGTTAATATTATTATTAAACGCATCTTTTTCTACATTTTTTTTCTCGTTAAAACTAACCTCTTCTCAAAAGAAAAATAAAGCCAAACAAAATCTTACTAAACCTATGTAATATACTTCGGGTCTGAAAATTGGTTCGAAAAAATATTGCACATTTTTTATTAATTCTAAGTGTAGTTATTCAAGAACAAGCACAACTCTATAACCGTTTGTGTTGCTCGACATGTTACCGTGCGGTAACAGATACACTCTTAATGTTTCAACACTGTCGGTTACATTAAAATATGATGACAAAGTCATGTGTGTTGGATCCGTGTCACGGACAAGTTAATTTACACGCCAGCCCATATGCGGGACCCGCGAAAAGCAAGCTCGTTTCTATTTTGTTTTTAATTGGATTTAAAGGGCGTAAAAAACTTATCCACAGTAAACCCTTTGCTAAAACCCGGTAAAATCACAACGAAATGGTTGCCACAGCCGTTTTGTCGTAAAAAAAAAAAATAGAATAACAATAACACACATACACATACACTTAAAAAGAAACGACCCCAAGAAGGTTAGTCCTTGTTTGTCTGACCGTCATTATCCCCATACAGGACCGTGGCACGTTAATTGTAACATTAGCACGGCTATGTACATGTTTTCTGATGTCGTTTCGTCGGGCTTAAGGCCGGTGCCGTTAACAGACACACGCCATAAAATGTCTGTTCTATTTTCTTAATTATTTTCGGTCACAGCGACGGTTTTGCAAGTCGTAGACGAAACCCCAGCGCACCCTAACGCCTTGCCAGCCATTAGTGGCATTTGTTGTCTCCAATAGAATAGAAATAGCTAAAAACAGTCGTTCCAACTAAATATGAGACAATGTGACGGTCACAATTGCGTAAACCGGTAAAAGGTGCAAGTAAAATGTTTTTGTTGTTTTTGTAATATTTAATTAATTTCCCCCAAAGAGGTATTGGAGAAAACTAAAGAAAATCGGTCGTCGAAGCGCATTGAAATAAAAAAAACTTTCACTGTAAAACTTTAAAAAAATAATTTATACCGTTTTTTACTTTCACCAATTCAATAATTACTTTTTTTTACATTAACAAGACGCGTGTTATTGACTGTTTGTCAGTTTATTCGACAAAATAAACAGAATATTCCAAAATTTAATACAAAAAGTATATTTAAGTTTTAAGGCTTCGTTGGAAATTGAACTTTCTGGAGTAAAAAGCGCCTCTCTCTCTCTTTATCAGCTTTGCGTTGCCGTCTGCATGATAAATAAACCGTTTAATTATTATTAATATAGTTTTAAGCGAATATTTTCATAAACAATTTGCATACATACAATATGCATTAGGACCTAAGACTGAATGTATGAAATCAGTTTCGCGGATCTTATGCAGCTTGTGTACCAAAATAAAGCGGATTACTTTCATTTCACCTCCATATTAATAATTAGTTTTCGTACAACCGACTTGTCCCGTATGCGTACAGTAAATACCCAAATATAGGTCAATGTAAACTGTTTTTTGTTTATTTTTTTCTCCCCCCCCCCCCACAACGTAATATTATTATGCTTTGAGTGCATGAAAATCATTTACCCTCAGCGGTAGTTGGTGAAAGTTTATATTGTTTACATGCCATGCCGGACTAGGCGAAGGGGCGTCGGAGGAGAGGGGGTGGGAATTAAAAAGTTTTAGAGACCTTACACGCTTTGGCGGTGGACAAACGTGATTTCCTCGGCCGGACCCTTGTCCGAGTGGGATCTTCCCTAACAGCAAATTGGAAATCCCGATGATATCCCTGAGGATTCCTCCGTGCAAGGATAATTACTAATTTCCCATAAAGATCCCGTTCGGCAAGTTTCACGATCCATTACTCCTCGAGGAGAAGAGGAAGGACCCGACCGAGTTACCTTCTCTGGTTTTCGCATCTCGTCTCATCCATCCGACAAGAACGCTCTCCCTGTGCGGTTTCTCTATACTTCGGCATTCTACTTCTTCGAGGGGACTAAGACCACACAGACAGACAATTAAAGTTACTTGGCACAGTGTGCTTGCAATGCTTAGCACGGATGTTTTGTACATGCAAACGAATTGTACAGTTTTG